ATAGTACTTCAAGTTCCCTTTCCGTCAACCGCTCGATAACCTCTACACACGCACAGCAATCCACAGGTGTGTAAGAGGTATAGCACAAAAGCATGCTAATGACGTAAAGAGTCGAACATGTCGGAAGAACGAGGTACTGGAGGTCCTCGCATGGCTAGGATCTCTGACGTCATCAGAAGTCGCTAGACTGACCAAGCACCGATAAAAAGAGACGTTAAAGTCCTTTGTTGTACATGACACTCCAGCACGATGTAAATTTATGTCTTCGTCGCCTGTGGTTGGCGAAGTCAGCATAATCGGCGTTGACAGAGGAAACGAGATAGCCTGTCACAGAGAAGGACAGACGGCCTTCAACTGGTCCCAAGAGTTTGTCGTAGGCGATGTGAGAAACATGACGGAAAGGGTGTCTAGGCTAGTCGGTGGCCAAGCGACGTAAAGCTTTAAAAGAGAAGTAGTTGTGCAGAGGTTACGCGGTGGTGTGGGCCTACTTGGCTGGACGCATGCGGCATGGTGATCGCATGGCAAGGGGTTTGTGGGGCTCGAAACGCTACTGTTTCGAGCCCCACAAATCGGGGAACTTGATTCATTGATCTGTTCTAAAACGCCGATCATTGGATAATCTCTACTGGTTCTGTACCCGTTGTCCCTCCTTCTCCAGACTTGTAAAAAATTCATAGCACACGAAGTGTACTTGGGTGGACGCATGTGGCCTGGTGCTCGCATGGCACGGGGTTTGTGGGGCTCGAAACGCAGGGGTTTCGAGCCCCACAAATTGAGGAACTTGGTTGTAGCGGTTTTTGTCCATGGCGATACTAGGCCTTGCAGCAATGCCTTTTCTCTGCTTGCTTCGACGCGCAGTTGTCGAAAAGGGGAAGCGCTGGCTTTCGTTTTGCAGCTTCTCAGGTTTTCAGAATCTGAAAATTCAGAATCTGAATCATTACTAAAGAACAACTATTTCAGAATCTTGAAATCTTGACATGATGAATTTTCATTGTATAAAGTATCCGGATTTGGTTTCTTACGGACATTTCCGATGAGCAATTCGCATTTTATAAAGTGTTTCTTCTTGGATGTCGATTTCTATCTTAACCTATCACAACCTGTGCTGGTCATTTTATAAACTAGTTTGGTTTTTCATTTTATAAACAAAAAACCTATCCCACACATTTTATAAACCCACAAAGTCTATAAAATGCAAAATCAGCGCGCCTATGAACAATCACGGGGGATCTGTGTGTATATATATATATATGTAAGCGTCCATTTGCCCATGGCTGGTTTGATAGACTCAACGGACAGTTTTTTGTTTTCTTATATGTTTTTTACCTTTTGTGATGTGTTGAAATCGTCTCTGGCCCCACACGCCAAAGAAACAGAACATGAAACCAGATGTTGGCTTTGGGCAGACTTGAGGGCGCCTGAGGGCGGGAAGTCGGGACGTTCGGAAGATTATGCTGTTGAAGAATGGTGCAATTTTGATAGCTTGGACTGTCCCAAGAAGCATCCATATGAGAATGTCAGAGTGAAATGCCTTCCCCCGAAGAAGCTCCGGCTGAAGGCTAGCTTCAATGATATGACATCCATGCAAAGCAAGATGAAAGACTTAGGACACCATAAGAGGAGTAACTGCACTGTTGCCAGTTGCCATCGTTTTCCCGCATGGCGCGACTTTGCGACAGCTGATTTCCGCATCAACGATGCCCAGCGCAGACACTTCGCTTTCCTCCGGTCACTCCTTAAAACATGGGGCTCACCATTTGTAGGGGGTTCACTTGCCACCCGAGAACGCTGCTCGTCTTCTCCAGACACGTAGAGTTATAAACTGTATAGCCGTTTTGGGAACTCGCCCAGGTATGGACTGGACTTCTTCACCCGCCCAGGAAGCCGAGGCGAGGTGTGATGATGACACCCTGGAAAGCAGCAGAATCGATTTTATTCGTGTAACATGAAAAAGACTTCAGGGAGTCCATTCTTTGTTGGTTCTTTTCATGTCAGTCCGTTGGCGTTCAGTCCCTTGGCCAATCCACGCCAACGGAGGCTGGAATATTTTTGATTTGTGCCTCGTTTTAGTCTCCTTTGTGGACGTGGCGTCTGCCTTCTTTTCCAGAGTGCCTCGGTGAAGGCTTGGGAGGAAAAAATCACCCATGGTACGACGGCTTGGCCAAGCTGGCAGGGCGCAAAGGGAACCATAATAGAGACAAGATGAATCAAGATGACCTCAGGTATTTAGAGGGTCGTCCACACACACATATATATATATATTATATAATATATTTAGATAAATAATATAAGCTGCATCCCCCCTAACAGACTACACAATTAAATACAGTACCCAACAAGTTATAAGTACAAGAGACACTTAAAACACCTGCATGACCTGCATGCTGTTGGTTTAAATATGCTTAAATGAACATTCCGTGCCTTAACTTAAGATGGCTCGCCTTTTCTCATATATGCGGTTGCCACAGCAACCGATGTCATGTCGCTTGGCTTGAAGAAAGCTGCGGATCCCAGGATCCGACCGTGGACGTGCTCCAAGCGGTGAAGATCTTGAAAATGCTCCGATGCTTGGTTTCAGTGAGGCACGCTTATTAATATTTCATTTACATACAAATATATTGGTATATATATAAATGCATACATCATATATATACATATATTGTTTTTACTTACAATTTAGCGACTTTAATAATTTGTATATTTTAGGGATTGTTTTCAATCTATATTTTTGTTTGTTTTTTGTTTATATAAATGCTGAATAATATGTATATGTGTATATGTGTTAAGGTATATGGATGGCATGGCCCCGGAAGGATGATGATTTTCTGAATACCAGCCAAACAGGCGGTGAATTCCAATTCCATGATTGTAACAAAACACCTGGTCTTGCGGATCCGGTGATTCGTGTTGTCCCGAACTGGGTGAATCCGGTGGCATCTAAAGTATTGTATATGAACTGGTATATGATTATATATATAATATGTACATCTATGGTATTTTGGCTTGAAAGGGCTTCTTTTGCTTGCCAGGAGATGGTCCTGATATATATATATATAATATATACATTATATTCTAGATACCTCATTAATTGTATTGATGTAAATCGTGAGCGGTAACAAAAGCTCCGGCAGTAAACAGCAGAAATCAAAGCATGCCCTAGATTGATATGATGAGAAGGAGGTCTTAAACATGGGGTTACATTCCTCCGAACTGGCAGCACGAATTGTACGGCTACTCCTTTCTTTGCTTGTGTAGGACTGTTGAAGAGTGCCACCCCTATTTCACGCAAGTGTTTTAAGAAGAAGAGGTTAAATTTTCAGATCAAAAACACTTGCTGCCCACCTAATTTTGTTCCACCCTCTCTCAGTTGTCATTCAGCAACTGAAGGTTCATCAGGCCTAGTGGTCAAACAATTATTCCTCAGGAATTGCACGGATCTTTCGAGTGGCCCCTTTGCTGCAGCAAGTTCGCACGCGTCTCCTCGGCTTCCAGCCAGCGTCCCTTTTGGCCAGGCCAAGCCTTGCTAAGCCTTGCTGCTCAAGTCACCACTTAGGAATTGAGCCGAGTCAAGAGTCTTGAGGTGGGTATAACTTCGAATTTCCAGAAGTGTTACGTCAACTTCCTGTGAATTGTTGATGCATATTTCTTCCCAGAAGGTCTCAAATCTTACCGAAGGTGAGGCTCTTTGGTGTTCAATGTCGCGAACAGAGTCTCCCATCCACTCAACTATGTACTGTAATTAGTAATGGTGGGATGTTCTTATATGTTCTTCCTATATTCTAAAAAGTGACAGCCATTTGAGCACCGCAATGATCATTGTACCATGTTTTTGGTTTATTGCAGGAAGCTTCTTTCTGATTGCCAGAATGGAGCGTCGACTGGGCCGCAGCAAGAAGTACATAGGAAGTCCCTATTCAGCTAGACTACGACGGGGTAGTCGACCAGTTGGGGGCAGGTGGAAACAATATATATATATTACATATATATATATTTTTTGATTACTTGCGGCACAGACCATAGTATTCTAGACTCTTGATTATGTTTCAAGCCCGTATATGCCATATGACGAGTTCTACAATCCAAATGGGATTGTTTAAAGCAATCGGCAATCAAGAGGCTACATTTCTTTAGCAACCGTTCTCATGCTGAGTTTCGCTTCTCGCGGGAGTTGTCCTTGATGGCTTTGATGATCGTGGACTCCATGCGCAGCTTGATGTGGGCTCCTTGGCGGCCATGAGTGCGACTGGGGGCAGAGCGATTCCGGAGAAATCCATGGGACACCGGTGGATCCAGTTGCCATTCGGCAACCAGTGAGTCGAAAGACGAACAGAACCTACATCTTTGGAACTTACAGAGCTAGGAGACCCCAAGATGACTGTGACCGACCACTTATATCATTTGTTGAGAACCTGTTTGTTCACCGTCTTCTCACCCATTTTTCGGAGAAGGTCGGAGTCCGGAGATGTCCGTAGATAAAAAGGCAGCGGACACTTCGGGCGAGTGCCGGACAGGTCCTTCTTGCGGTCTTCAAAGGAGTGTCTACAGAACACCCTATCAGATCTGTAGTAATATGTTATAAATATATATATATACCTATGCGTGTATATATCATGTATATAATGAAAAACTACTATGAAACCCTACCGGAGGTCCCGAAATGTAAGTTGCAATGCACGGGAATGACCCAAAGTCAAATGTAACTTCAGGATCCCCTAGATACCTACCTAGTATTTTTTGGAAGTGGGGGGCTCAATGAATGGATTTAACGTCAGACCTCCCACGTTGGAAGTTACATGTTTGCACCCCCTGAAGTGCGTGCAAAGCGTGCCCTTTTCACATTTCCAGAGAACACCCTGGATGGTTCAGGAGATTGTTCAAAGATGTGACTAAACAATCGGTATGCAGTGGAGGATGTATGGTGGTGGGATGGTTTGTAGTTTGGCATTGTGAACTTTAGATTTCTTCTTGGCATTGTGCGGCGGCACCTAATCCGTAAGGCAATGCTCATGCTCATGCTGATGAGTCTTGGCTTGCAGCTGTCCCAGGTAATCTACAATGGCAGTAGTGGTGCCTCAAATGACTCAAATGGATTCAAATGGGTTCTTCAGCAGCTTGCTGTTGTTCCATTCTAGTCATTCTAGTCAAGTCCTTGTCATGAGTTCTTGGTTTGTTCATTCGTTGTCTTCCATCGTTCGTCAAGTTCAACCTCTGAGGATCTTTGTCTTCGCAGTCTGGTTTACCACCAACGCCACCTTTTACCTACGAGAGTTTGCCGACACTGCAAGCATCTTGGCATGCCAGGTTTCATCATGGTTTCGTTGGCCAGGGGGCCACCCAGTAGTTGTTGGCTTTCTTCGATGGCTAAGTTTGGAGAGTTGCTTGGCAGATTTGTGCCAGTGTTTCACCGAGATTGGGGTATAGAGATTGCAGCCTCCGTCTCCGTGGATTTGTAGTCCTCTTGAGACTTTGCAAAAGAGGCCGCTAAATTTGTAATTACAGCCTCCCAATGCCAGCGAGAAACCGTAGACAAATAGAACCGCTGGACAGAAGTTCCGGTTTTTCCCGAAAGCACCTGCTAAGGGTTCTTCATAAAGAACGGCTACCAACTTCAACTGTCCAACCATCATCATCATCATCATCATCATCATCATCATCATCATCATCATCACAGCATCACCACCACCACCAACAACAACAACGACAACAACAACAACAACCAACAACAACAACAACAACGACGACAACAACGACAACAACAACCACAACAACCAACAACAACAAGCAACAACAACCAACAACAACAACAACACCATCACCATCATCCTCTTCATCATATGAGATTTAGGTGTTGAGATCAAGGTGAAGAGACCCACAAAACTTACCACATCTCACAACTTCAACATGTTTCTAGGTGGCCGGGTGAACCTTCTGCAGAGATCATGCGTGTCGAGTGCTCAAACGTGAGGTGAAACGGCGAGAAACACAAATTCTTGGTGACATTGGTGAACCCTTTGCGGAGATCGTGTGCGGTGTCGCTGTGCCATCTGGTTTTGTGTGGCCTCGGTGACAAGTTTGTGTGGCTCCGTGCTCCATGGGGCGCATGGGAAACATGCATGCGGAAATGCAGGTGTCGCTGGTGAGCAGGATGAGTGGCGGTTTCCCAGAAGAATGCCCCACAATGACAAGCGTGTCCCACAAGAATGTCCTACACAAGTCTCTCACGAGAGTGCCCAAAAGTGTACCACAAGAGTGTTCTCACAGTTGTCGCCCACGTGTCAAGCAAGAGTGCCCCACAAGAGTGTCTTACAAGAGTTGCCCCCAGGGGTGTCCCTCAAGAATGCCCCACAAGGGGGTCTCACAAGAGTATCACACAAGAGTGTCCCACAAGTGTGTCTTGCAAGAGTGTTCCACAAGGGGTTCCCACAAGAGTGTCCCACAACACTGGCCTAAATGAGCGTCCCTGCAAGATATATCTTGAGATTATTCACATCTGAACTATCTTGGCAGTAGCTCCATTTTGATCATCATCACCATCATCAACATCATCATCACCATCATCATCATCATCATCTTTACCTTGCTTCATCTCCTACTGTGCTTTTGGGCCACCCAGTCGTCTAGTTTGAGGGTGAACTGCAAAAATTGATAGAAACAATGTTTGGCACCTCTCTTTGTTTGATGCTGTTTGTGTTCGTGTTGCTTAGAGTATGTTCTCCACTGGTACGGTGGCCCTCGACCCGGCCACCTCATCACAATCACACCCCTTCGCCGCTAGCAGGGGTTCTTTTCTTTTTCCCTTTTATAAGAGAAAGGGAGGGTTCATAAGGCATGTGGCTTACTGTAGTTTGCTCGAGCAAGCTGCTGAATCTGGATGTTCCTGTGTTGGAGGAAAGGGGTTGCCTTATTTGATTGAAGCCTGGTTTTATTGGAGGGTCTCCTCTTCTTCTGCCTTGTAGTATATACTTTTTGTGTGTAATGTCACATAATGTTGAAAAACTTTGCAGGCCAAGTATATAGTGAGGAAGTGTTTGCGAATAGACCACGGTGTTAATAAGTCTGTAGGTGGCTAGGCCCAGTTTGGTTGGACACACGTAGGTCCAATCGCGGATTGTTCCCACGCATTAGGATACATTAGGGGCACTTTCCTTGCCTCCCGCGCATCAGCACATGCTTCGGGATGCCAATGTCGGTGTTTGAGGTCCGACGTGGTTCGAAGACCTTGGCAATTCTACTTCGAAAAATGCTGCTTGGATGAAATTCGGGTCTGCGTGATGCTGAGCGTGCGTTTCCTGCATCGAGCCACAGCACCAGAGTCCACAGGGAGGATTTGAAGCTGTCCCCCTTCCAAGGACAACGGAGATGCAGTTCCACGACCGATTCGAAGAACTCGATCGATCTTTTCTGGAAAAATCCACGAGCTCTTTGGGTTTGCTTGGTGTTTTGATCTTTTTTGATCTTTTGAGACAAGTTCCAGTTGGTTTGTAACAAGGTGTTTGTTAGGTTCAAGGAAGAAAACAAGGTATCATTCAGGTTCACACCACAGGTCTTTGTTACACAAGTTCTTGGCTATTCCAAGTTCGTTTTAAACTCTTTGAAGTAGATACCCTGACCTGCCCACACCTCATTTGTTTGCTTGCTGGCAGGGCATCCTCACATACCCTAGCTCGCCCTGACTACAGCTACGTGGGTAGTGATTGGTAGCTTTCCATGAAGAACTGCTCATGTCGCACAAATAAAAAGAGTTAAAACGCTTGCTACCGTCAGGATGCATGGGTTTTGTGTGTGTGTGCGTGTTTGTATGGGTGTGGATATTTGATGATATGAATATGAACGTCAACACCCATACAATATCCACACCCATACAAACATACATATCCACACCTGGGTGTCAACCATTTCACACCCAGGTCATCGACATTCAACGGAACTTCGGTACCTTGCACGCCACCACCTATTCGCTGCTGCGGTCCATGCTGGGCGGCATCAACTGGGGTATCCTTTGTCGCTCGGCGGAGCGCGTCCGCGCACGGCCAGCCCAAATGGGGGATTCCATTTTTTTGCAAGAAGTAGCAAGCGCCCTGAGGGTGGTACAAGACCGCTGGCTCCTTGGTACTTGGACATGGGGCAAAATCTGTCACTAATTTGTAGGATCCAACTTGTCCATTGAGCGTGTAGTTCATCCTTAGCTCAACAAAGCGATGCCTGGCATCTTGTGGCCATTGACCTGGACAGCGAACGGAGATAGCAGCATTTCAATGCATTCTAAGTTGATCAATCAAATCAGTTATGTTGAAAGGGCCCAGTCCGACTGGGTGTTTTGGCTGTCGAAGCTGGATATGAATTTCATTGAATTTCTATATATATATAGTTATATATATACATACTATTATATACTGTTTGGGGGACTGATGATGTTTTGACCCAGACCCACGTGAACCACCACGGTGTTTAAACAAACATACGTGAAAACATGTGAAAACCACAGGTGACATGCTGCTGAAGATGGACACGATCTCCCCGATGTCGCCTGGCAGTTGGCAGACCCCGGAGTAGGACTCCATTCTGGATCAGTGTCCCACAAATGCCCGGGATCAGGGGTCAAGATGGCATTTGGTCGCGCAAATGGAACGAGTGTTTAAACACTGGGGCTGCCCTGTCGTTTCCAGAAAATCCGACTTGATATTTCGGTCACGATATTCTCTCCACCACAGCAGCTGCTTCAGGCTCTTTATTTTCTACGTCCTTTTCACCATGCTAGTGCCTTTGCTAGCATTTGGCGAGCGGACATGCAAGTCCTGACACCTCATTTTGCAGGTTGCAGCTCTACAAATTCAGTGTGAACTGTTGAGTTATTCGATGTTTGGATGACTATATATACATGAGGCCAGTTGTAGATTCACACACCCTAAAGAAAGTGTTGAAACTTGCAGATATTTCACCACCAAAACAGTGTTTGTTGGCTCTCACCATGACCATAGGCGGCAGGCCAAGCGAATCTTTGGACTCAGACTTCTCGAAGGTTACGTGCACCGGTTTGGTGTACGCAATTACACTGAACCTCATGTTCCAGAGCAGCGGAAAACCGCCTCCTGGTAGAAGATGATCATCTTTGCAGGGGAACCATTCTGTCATTCCCCACGCCACCAAGGCAGTGCTGAATATTGTGACTGGTGTGACTTGGCCGCTTCCGCGTGCGTGCGCGTTCGCACTGCATGCTAAAGATTTTGGGAATTGATTGATGGATGTAGGTGCCTATCATACAGCTAGATCACCCAAGGAAGCTGCAAGTCTGACAATTCCACCGCAGGCTCCTAGGGAGCCCTACTTGGGAATAGCATTTCTTCATGAGCTAGCACTTCCTCCACACTGCGAGGTGTTCGTTGACAATGCTGCGGCGGCGGCAAAAACTCAGCGTGACTATATCATTGAGAAGGAGAAGCTTACCTACCTCCACGGACAATGCATATTAATGCATATGATGGAACTCCCAAACACAGTGCATCACAGTGCCGCGCAAAGGAGTTCCACTCGCGGCGCGTTTTCATTGTGCAAACATGAACATCATGAAAAAACAGGCCCAAGATACCTAACATCAATATCCAGATGGTTTTTCTGTGTTTCCTCTACAAGTACCAGACTCTACCAGCAACCTCTCCCATGCTTTGCCATTTTGTATGGTGCGTTCTCCCTCCATTTCATGGACCATGTAGCGAGCTCTGCTTCAATGGTCGACCAAATTGGGCGGTTTCGATTTCACGCGTTCGGTCACCAGACATTTCGGCGCTAGGAGCGTGAGGTGAAAGAGACGTACATCAGGGAGTCGCTCAGCTGGACATCTCGAGCAGATCGGAACATGTCGCAATTTGAGATCGCTCAACGGAACGAAAAGCCAAGTGGACACCAAGCCACCCCAAGAACCCTTAGACCTGACACCTTCGCAGGGGGTCCGGACCCGAAGTAGACCCGTTCCCCGGCCCTGGAGGTTCATCTTAGGGCCAGGGTCAAGGTGTTTGGGGTGGGTTTGTTCTGAGGAGGTACTTGGAGGTGTAGGGTTTGACCAACCTTGGCACCGCCGCGTAGATCCGCACAATAACTGTTTTGTGGGTCAGATGCCACGTATCGCGTATCGCTGCTTGTTAGGACACCCCAACCCTTCACATCCGTCAGGCTTCAAAACCTCTTCTGGCAGATGGACGACGATGAGTCTGGCACATTGACCGCAGCAGAGATGCAACAGCTCGTCAAGGACCCCCTGAATTCGGGTTTCGAGCGCATGGCCGCCGGTCGTGCTGCCGGTGCGGCCGCGCTGCCGGTGCGGCCGGTTGCAACTCGGGGGTTTAGATGAACAAGCAATGGTCGCCCCAGCTATGGATGGTGGAGATTACAGCCATCCAGTCTAAAGGATTTTCCGTTTTTCTGCCAGGCCGCGCGGCTACAGCCGTTCCAGTCGTGCCCAGTCCAAGCCGCAGATTCGATGACGCATTCTCGGTGAACACTTGGACGTTGCGAGGACCCAAAGATGGCTGCATACTTCACAGCTTTAGGCTCGGTGAGTGGAGAAATATTCATACTTCAAACGGATTCTAACGGCAGTACGGGCAGTAATATTTGGCGAAAGAGTGGAGAAAAGGATGATGGACAATGGGCAAACAAAACCTTTGACCTAACAAAGGATATCAAAACAATGGAACTAAACTAAATGAGATATGCTGAAACTATGCTGAAACTAGGTCTAGGATGATAATTCAGATGATTTTTATCATCTTAAATATGTTGGGGGTACAACTGTTGCGAATGAACTGCATGAAACTGCTGATTTTCCAGGTGTTTAATGCCAGACCCTCCATGGGACTGGCCTGTTTTCCCAACATATTGGGGTATAGTTGAAAAGGGGTAAATGCTGGCATTATTCCAAACATAGACGGTTTGGCTATTGGATGTTGTGCCTACCTCGCCCAGCAAAACCAGCACGTTGGCCCGCCAGGTTTTGAGCCTCATGACTGTGTGCGGCTTTTCACCTTGCTGGACACCGATTCGTCACTTGGCCCGTAAAGAAGCGCACAAGATGAATATCCGAGACACGACTGGTGGTAGTGCCATATATGTACTATATACACGTGTGATTTCAAGGTTCAATGTAGGTGAATATTGTAAATGCCGTGGTTGAGTATGTTTAATTCCATTTTCTCCAACCACTCATCGTCAGGAGAAGAGTCCGCCAGGTCGCCAGGGTCCTTCAGGTCGCCAGCCTCCATCCTGACCATCTGAAAAACCTGACCGCCAAGGTCGCCAGGTTTGCCCCTCAAATTGAGTGAACGTTTTGAGTGTGAGAAAGAGACAACCCAGTTTTGCCCCTTTAAACTCTAAACTATGCAACAATCCATTGCTTGGAGAAGCGGGGCCTCCCTATTCCAACACGCCGCCAAATTTTTCCCCAGATGGATGGCTTCTCACCCTTCCCGCACCTGCCGCGGAGTTCCTTGCTTCCTTTCGTGCCAAAGGTCTGGCACGGTTGACATTGAGGCCAGGCGGCCGGACGCATCGGCGATGCTTCAAGATGTGGTGTTGTGTGTGTGTGTGTCCACCCCTGGACCAAGGGTTTTTCAACACCACTTCTCACAGGCAGGGGCGTGTGGCCTTCTTGTCCTACCACACGCAATGAAGCTGTGGACAAGAAGGGGAAGCAGGGACTGATCATCCCTGTGTACCTGCTCGTTTCTCCACAAGCTGTTACTCCAATTTTCCATTTTTTGATTCATGGTCGTTTGCATGATACTTCCCACAAACCTATTCGTCCCCAGCAGCTGCGCCGCCGATTTGATTGCTGCCGCCTTTGTGACAACAATGTTAAACCTTTCAAGTGCTCGGACCCATGCACCTTTCTGTTCTCTCACCTTCCTTCCCAACGTGACTTGCGTTAACTGAAAACCAGTGTCAGAGTGTGTTTCGCTCAGCCGTCCCACTCGGGTGCTGAGTGTGATCCCCGTCACTGGGGCGCCGATTTTGCATGGGAAAGCAACAACCACAAAGCACCACCACTCACTGGACTCTCACAGGAAGTCACCGACACCCTCACCGAATCAACTGACATACTGGCCGCCGGGCCAAAAAACGGTTCCTGTGGAATACATCAGATATCAGTTTTCAGATTTCGGATCCGTCATGTTCATTTCTCCACGTCATGCTTGTTTCTCCACGTTTTGCCATATTAATGCCGTGACTTTTTCATCAGCAGAACTCAAGTTTGGGCATTAGAGCTCTCCAATCTAATTCGAGATGCATGAGCATACAACTGACAACAAGCTCACCTCCAGCACCACTTTACAACATACTCCCCATCAACACCAGGGATGAGACTTTCAACAACATTATGACAATACAACTCGGCACTTTTCCGCTGCATCTTTGCTGCTGCGCCGCGCCGTGCCATAGCTACGACTACGATATGCATTTTCCGTGGCCATACGCTCACGCCACGCCACCACCATTACCTACCACACAACCTCAACCCACATGGCCGCTGCCACAGCCGTCAACTGCACCCACCTTTCCCTCGCCACAACCATCGGCATACCCTCACCCACAACCACAACCATTTCAAACACCACCTTTTTTGCCCAGTCCGACCGCCACTGCACTGACCTACGGCACTCCGTCCACCTGGACGTTTGTGCAACCATCTCACATGCCACCGCAGCCCACACATCCAACTCCAGTATTTCCGTCAGCAGCACCTCCCCCTTCATACCTGTTGCCACCACTACATCCCACACCACCGGCTGAACCTCCTCCCCCCACTACACTGACACATCCCCTTCCAACACCACAACAAGCAGCGGTTGCCCATCATCCATCCACAGACCCACAATGCGCCATCCCCCAGGGCGTTTGGCAACCTTACTCAGCTTTTCCAACCGTTGCCTCCGCCGCCCCCTCCACAAGCCATCGGCGCTCCACCACCAGTCCAGCCTCCACTCCCACAACAGACGCCATCGGACCCCACAACACCGGTCCAACACGTCACCACAACAGCCACGGACCCTTCATTGCCGGTCCAAAGCACGACCCCTCCAGCTACTGGCTCCCAACCTTCCGCATCACCATCCATTACATCAGCGACACCAGCTCCTGGACCTTCACTACCTGCAACGGACAAGCCCGACACCACCGCCTCACCGGCACCACAACCACCTTCCCCACAGCCACCACACAGCAGTCGCCGCCACCACCACAAGAGCCGACGCAAGTCCGATCATCACCGCCGAGGACGCCACCACCACCGCCGCCGACATCGACATCACCACCACTCAAAGCACCACAGCGCAACCCGGCGACGCCGTTCACCCTCCACATCCACTTACACATCCAGCCTTACACCATCTCGCAGTCGCTCACCACCACAACCCATCGATCTACGCCCCAACACTGAACACACCAACCCCGACCCCTCTCAATTTCCCACCACAGCCGTCCTTCGTCGCCCAATCAACCGTTGGCGACCTCCACCCAACTTTCACACTTTTTCACCTGCAGACCAACTCCTGGAATGGCTTGAATTCCACGCCACCCAATTAGACAATCCCAACCGCAGTACATTGCCACTCTCCTCACAGACTGCAACATCACCTACAAGGAGATCACCGATTTCCGGCAATACACTCACGCCAGGTGGAACGACACCACTCACCAATACGACCAATTCCAATACTACGCCATCTCACTTCCTTTCCTCAACACAAAAGCCACCACACCAGAACCGCCCGCGGTTTCCCGAGCCACATCAACCCACCGGGAAGTCGCCCACATCAACGCTGGCCATACAGGCCCGGTCGGCAACATTGCCAACATTCTACGCCAAGGTCGATTTTTACCCAGCACACTTCACTTTGCCAACTACCCTGGCTTTTTTGCCCAGGGTGTCCGCATCACCCACAATCAACCCCATGATCAGAACGAATTTGCCCGTATCATCCACAACACCTGGCAACTCCACAAGAACTCCCACTCCCTTATCATCACACTCCTTGCTTGGGGTGCCGCCACAAAATATACCTCTGGAGGTGAAGAACATGCCATGAACCTCCTCAACGATTACCACGGCGCAGTCTTCCACCAGAAGGGCCGCTGCTGGGTGATCCACCCGGACCACGCCATTGTCAAAGGACTGGCCTGGTCCACAAACTCCACTCCACCGGACACGTAACACCACTGTCCAACACCTCCACACCACTACCACCTCTACCTCCACCTTTTGTCTCACACCACCACATAACCTTTGCCTATAGCAGCCAAAAAGAGCCTCTTGCAGCGGCCACGCGAATTCTGAACCCTCAATTTTTCAAGCTCTGCAGGTTTTGCTCTAAAAAATCTTATTCCGAATCTTACCAGCTGTCTTGATGAAGTTTTTCACATGTCGGAGTTTTATGCACTTGATTGTTCAATCGGACTTGCATTTTCGCACCATGCCCGTGGGAATTTGATGCTCGTTTAATTCATACGCACGGCCACGTGATGACGCGCTCCCGCAGATCAGCTGCTGTCCTGCTGCCCTGGCGCGCTGCCGCAGCAACCTGTGACGACTCTGTGTGACTGTACATCCCTATATCTCCAAGTCATGAGCAGCACACTGACACCTCCACACAACGACACCCCAACTCTCCTACATCAAACCGCAGTGGTACTTTCGCAGGTCCAAAACCTGCTCAGGCAAGCAACAGATATTGTAGCACACCTTCACACCCACTTCCTCCACCACATCCACCAAGCGGATCCCACTTTCCGCCAACACTTTCAGCCACTACCAACTCCGCCTATCCACCCTATACGTTTACCATCCACCACCTCCTCCTGTGACTCAGCACCATCTCGACCACCCATCCGTTTACCAGCACCACTCTCAAAAGACTCCGACGACACACCAACAACACCCCCAGCTCCACAACCTGCTACAACACGCAAGCGGAAGCAACCACTCCCACCACCACTGAACCAGCAAGCGGACTGGGACGCATGGGACGGCGACGCCGATTGCCGCCTGGTTGAACTCAAAGGAAACCCCCGACTCCGTCCCAACTGGGTTTCTGTGGCTCGCCGAGTGGGCTTCTCAGTCGAGCAATGTCAAGCCCGATGGCAAGAACTCAAAGACATGCAACGTCAGCAAGACCAGCAACTTTCCTCCACACCACTACCAACAGAACCACCACGACAAGCACCTTCCCTTTCACCAACACCCACCTCACCAGCAGTTTCCCCACCACCACATTCACAACCGGATTTTTCCCCTTCCCCCAAGACAACGCCACCGCCCTCACCACATCGATCACCTTCTGCTGCTGTGCTGCTGCCGCCGGCTGCTGAGCGAGCGCCTAGTGAGAACAGTCATCCGGAGAAATCTCCACTTACGCCCGTTGGCAGTTATTTCATATGATCCGTTTCACCCCGCTTTCTCTACGGCGTGCCGCAGGACAAATCCATTGACATGCAGTGACAAGTTGTTTTCACGCCCGTTCTACTTTCGCCATTCTTTTGGACAACTTCGGTCTTTCATGATCTCAAGCTCACTCTAGCTCCGCAGCTTTTTGTGTGCCACTTTGTCCTACTTTCTTGTACCAATCGTTATGGCCAATCCTCGCGCTCGCCCCCATGGCAACACCGCCAACACAGAACACTACCTGCCACAGCGCCCTCCGAGCTGGCTCCAACCTTCGATTTGCACTCAACCTGACTTTCAATCTCTCAACAGCTCCCTTGACCTTCTTTTTATGGTCAACCAACACCCATTCCACACTGAACCTATGCCAAGCCAGACGTATTTTCAGGACCAGAGAGCATACAACCTCCTCTACCGAATGCGCGGCGACCTGATCTTGATGGACCGGCTGATTGATAGCCTTTACCAGGCTCGTCGGCTCCTCCAATTTGTCACCACCGGCCCAGGCCTCCCAGGGCAATATCGCATCAACCCCACAGCCTCACTCTCCAGCAGAAACCTGGCCATTCTACACGACATACCGCCAGGTTTTCCACTACCACCCGGACTTTCCAGCCGTTCACCCTCTCCCTCACCACGTACACCACCACAAGACGCAGAACGTCTTCACTCTCACTGGACAGGTCCCCCGCCACAAGCTACCCCGGCCACCAACATCAACACTGCCACTCGTACCCGGGAACGCTCACGCTCCCGCGACAACATTCCACACCGCAGTGGCTAATTACAACATCCAGCACCGCAGCAACATCCCAACCCGGGCTCTACAGCGGCTGCCATGCAACTTGCCAACTCTGAGACGACATCCCTGGCCACAGCTGCTGCTACACTTCATTTTTCAGGTCTCACTGATATTTTTCGGCGAGCGGAAAAACTTAGCCATCTCACTGGTCTACCATTCTTCACACTCTCACTTTTGATGGTTTTTTCACAATCGCATGCCACCATGTGTTCCGCAGCCATTTGACCGAACTGTTTCTTCATAACTGCTCGCCCCTTCTACGACATGATGCCTCGTGATGATTTACGAACT